GGGGTGAACACTGGCATCTTCAGCTTTCCTCCACGTCCTCGTTAGCGAGCCAGCTCATCAGCGGAGCCCGTGGTGCGCCAGCGTGGTTGCAAGGTGCTCACCCTCCCCAGGGAACCGGACCCCTCTGGCTCTGAGGAAGCTGAGGGCTTCTCCAGGCGCTTTGTCTCTGTGTGACTGTCCCCATGAGATCCCAAACTCTTTTCTTTCCACTGGCTTTCCCTTCCTGGAGCTTTCCGTAGTGACCCCATCAAGGAAACTATCAACCCGCAACCTCTCTGATCTGCCTCTCCTTGCAGGGACGTGCTGCTAGCTGGAGACCACAATGACCGACTCGAAGTATTTCACTACCACCAAGAAAGGTAAGAGAGGGAGCAGGAGGGTCACACAGTTGCTCCCCAGAATAATCAGGCTCTTCTTGAAGCCCAATGAGGAGTGCTAGCCCTGCAGTGGAGGCTCCTGGGCCACTGCCATGGGGTCAGAGCATGTTGTCACCAGCCCTCTGAACCCAGGCAAGGCTGTTGGCAGCTGGATTATTGGCTTTAGCATCTTAGGAATGCCTGTAGGACGTGGTGTCCCCCCACAGCTCCCCTGGGCTGGGGCAGAAGTGCTCAGAGCGTTCAGCGTACGCACTTTCCAGACCAAGGAATTAATGTGGAGGAAAGCCGTGTGGCATCTTCTCACTGGGGCTGAATAAAGAGCTCAGCGTGGCTTTGCAAGGGCAGGAGATGGTGCCCTTCGGCTCCGTCTGGTGCTGTTGATCGCCCCCGGCGAGGCGCTGGGATGGGGAACAAAATGCTCCCACGTGCAGAGCGGCATTTGGGACCCACCGTGCTTTGCATGGGCTCCCAAAATCCGCTACCAAATAAACCCCGGGTCCTGAGCTTGGGACGTGGGGGTGCTGGTGCTCATCGCTCCTGCAGTGTCACGGGTCCTTAAAACCGCCCCCGGGGCTCTCGTGGGGTTGGAGGAGCCGTGGGGATGCACTAGCGTGCTCATATCCATTTCCAAGGATAATTGCTGAGCCCCCAGAGCAGCCCCAGCCCTCGGTGAGATGTTTAGAAAGTTAAATCCCCTTTTCCAGCTCCTGGAACACCCCAGGGTAGCAAAGGAGCCGTGGCACGTAGTGGGTGGGAGCTGGTGCCCCGCTGGGAGCAGCACCCTAACCCCTGAGCCTTCCCATTTTCCTTTTCCTCTAGGGGAGATATTTGAGCTGAAAGCCGAGCTGAACAGCGACAAGAAGGAGAAGAAGAAAGAGGCTGTGAAGAAGGTGATAGCGTCCATGACCGTCGGCAAAGATGTCAGGTGGGTGGCAGTGCTCGGGGCCAAACTGCACTAGAAGGGCTCCTGGATTTCGTTTGCAAGTTCCCGTTTTCCCTCGTTGCTTCTGTGTGCTGGCTTTCACCTCAGGAGAGGATCGAGAGAACTCCTGGTTGCAGCTACACCTCCTGCTACGGGGAGGAAAACGTTTGTGTGAGCGTGGCCGTCTGGCTTTGGTAGTAATCTGGCTGAAAGAGGATTGGTCTGGCCGCCAGATAAGTTGTCGGGGATTATTGCCGCTTCTTTCAAGTGTTACTAAAAACAATCAAGACCCCCCTCCAAGCCTTTATGGCAGCGGGTTGGTGTCTCTGCCTCTGTGTCCATAAGCCTTTCACAGCCCTGAAGTCCAAAAGGTCGGGCGGCTGCTTTTCCCTTCTTCTCCGGCTGAGTGAGCAGCACACGGCCCCTCCGTCCCTGCACACCCTCGGCGTGACACACAACGTCAGCACTTTGCTTTTTGTGCTGCGATAGAGAGTAGATGGAGGGATTTAAAAAAAAAACAACCCCACCCTTCAGGCTCTGCGTTTGGAAAACTGGTGCATCCCCAGCTCCTGGAGCGCTCGCAGCGATCGTGGGGCTGCTGTGGAA